CGTGGCTACAAAGTATCGAGCATATGCAGAACGTTGTTTACCCCTGTTTACTCGAGCACAAGAATCGCGTCCTACTTAATGTGTATAACCGATGGAATAACATTAATAACATTGTTCAGTTCAAAGTTGGCGATTACGTTAACATTGTAAATCGCAACGCCAACGTTACCGAACTCTCTTCTAAGATAATTGGACCTTTTTTTTCCTACCATGATGAGAAGAGTAATACTTACGAAGTGAACAACATAGATGGTGCTAGCACAATTAATCTAGACACTCACCGTATCCATACGTCCGAACTCTCATTCGCTCGCTCCTTGGATTCTGATGTTCCAGTTATGGAGTCACAAGTCAAATATATATTTGACAAAACATCCGACGACGGTTACACTTACTACAAGACCCGTTTAATGGATGGGACAGTAGTTTGGCTAGCCTCCGATACGTTTCGTGGATCTCGCGACTTCCTTCGTATCTCTAAAAAGAACACACGAGATAAACGGAAAGAGTTTCCTCAGGTGACTACAAACCCTGATGGATCAGCAATTACCTATTTGCCCCCTACTTCCTATGTGACTAATCTTTCTGATCTGCTTACCAACAGTGCAGAAGATTCTTCAAACTTACTTACTAAGTAGGAACAACCTTTGGCTATTACCTTACCACGCAAGCAGATAATGTGGATGCACGTTGGCGCGCAAAACTCGTCACGTTCTGGCCCATAGTCGCCCGCCGGGCCACCAACAAGACTCTCGGTTCAGACTCCTTCATCTTCGAGCCAGCCAACCGCGTGCCGGTTGTGAATCTCAACAACAATACGAGCGAGGAACGTTCCCATAAGTCCAAGGTCATTTTCTTTCCCCTCGACCAGCTGTCTGTCGACTTCCTCCACGTACACCTACTCGGGATGTGAACTCCCGTAGTGTTCCACCAAGCCCGGCCATAGTTCTTAACGCCTTCGACGACTCGGAGAACATCACACTAGTGCGCAGACAATTTTTGCGTGCAGGTCTGGCACTCACAGTCGCAGACCAACACATCCGATACAATGCCTTTCGCGGAAGGTTGTACCAAAGTTTGCTCAGTCTACATATATCGAATGATAGCATAAGCGCTATCATGAGCATCGAGCAGTCCTCACTGTCGCCCTACCGCTCAGTAACTACGCCCAAAGATGCCGACGGCCGTTTCGAGGCATGTTTGAAAGGAGAGCCTTCGTTGTAAACGACGTGGACTTCCAGTAGTGATCGAAACAAAAACTAATGTAGAATGATTCTCCTTTCAGTAGTATTGTCGGACTGGGAGTACATTAGAGCAACAGCATAAAAGTTTGCGCTGTCACGTCATAACTACTGTTATGTCGCAACAGCACTAATTGTTTTATGCTGTGGTACTATTTTACTCCAGTCCTTGAATATACACAATTTCTACGTTGTTATGTATTTTTAAGGACGAGGATAGTGTTCACTATCTCTCATCCTGTACTATTTTTATATTCTCACCCGCAACCACCCTTCTCATCCTGTATTTCTTTTTAGCGCTGTTTTAATCCAGGTTGCCGTTTTATATTTGCATTCCCTCACTGGAATCGTACATCCACATCCGGTGAAGACTCGACAACCAGGAACAGTTTATAAGTATCAATAGGGCTTATTTGTACTAATCCCAATTCAAATCCGCAAACGAATAGAGTCCTGGCATAAAGTTTCCCAATCCGTACCGACTGTTCTGAATTGCAATGTGATCACCATAACTATTCTCAACTTCGCCAAGAAGCTTCAATACTAAACAGAGTCTTTTCAGTTAAAATCACATATACACTTATTAGGTAGGAGAGCTTATTAAACTTATTTGAAACCAAATACTATATATCTATATATATATATATATATATATATTATATATATATATATATATATATATATATATATATATATATATATATATATATATATATATATATATATATATATATAGT